GAATGCTGCTGCCATCCACCTTACTAACCATTCTGTATCAGCCACCCCTCTCTGCCAATCCCTCCACTGGCCTCCACCCCTCTCTACCAATCCCTCCACTGACCTCCACTCAGTGTCCTCCACCCCTCTCTTCCAATCCCTCCACTGACCTCCACTCAGTGTCCTCCACCCCTCTCTGCCAATCCCTCCACTGACCTCCACTCAGTGTTCTCCACCCCTCTCTGCCAATCCCTCCACTGGCCTCCATTCAGTGTCCTCCATCCCTCTCTGCCAATCCCTCCACTGGCCTCCATTCAGTGTCCTCCATCCCTCTCTGCCAATCCCTCCACTGGCCTCCACTCAGTGTCCTCCATCTCTCTCTGCCATTCCCTCCACTGGCCTCCATTTGGTGTCCTCCATCTCTCTCTGCCAATCCCTCCACTGGCCTTCCCTCAGTGTCCTCCACCCCTCTCTGCCAATCCCTCCACTGGCCTCCACTCAGTGTCCTCCACCGCTCTCTGCCAATCTCTCCACTAGCCTCCACTCAGTGTCCTCCATCCCTCTCTGCCAATCCCTCCACTGGCCTTCCCTCAGTGTCCTCCACCCCTCTCTGCCAATCCCTCCACTGGCCTCCACTCAGTGTCCTCACCGCTCTCTGCCAATCTCTCCACTAGCCCCCATTCAGTGTCCTCCACCCCTCTCTGCCAATCCCTCCACTGGCTCACATTCAGTGTCCTCTACCCCTCTCTGCCAATCCCTCCACTGGCCCCCATTCAGTGTCCTTCACCCCTCTCTGCCAATCCTTCCACTGGCCCCCATTCAGTGTCCTCCACCCCTCTCTGCCAATCCTTCCACTGGCCCCTATTCAGTGTCCTCCACCCCTCTCTGCCAATCCCTCCACTGGCCTCCACTCAGTGTCCTCCATCCCTCTCTGCCAATCCCTCCACTGGCCTTCCCTCAGTGTCCTCCACCCCTCTCTGCCAATCCCTCCACTGGCCCCCACTCAGTGTCCTCCACCCCTCTCTGCAAATCCCTCCACTGGCTCCCCATTGCCCAACGGATAAAATTCAAAACACTAACAATAACATATAAAGCCATTTATAACTCTGCCCCAAATTACATCACCAATCTTGTTTCTAAATATCACCCCAACCGTACTCTCCGCTCCTCCCATGACCTCCTGCTCTCTAGCTCCCTTGTCTCCTCCTCCCATGCTCGTCTCCAGGACTTCTCCAGAGCTTCCCTCATCCTCTGGAACTCTCTACCCCAATTTATCAGACTATCGCCTACTCTGCTCACTTTTAGGCGATCTCTGAAAACCTCTCTTCAGGGAAGCCTATCCTGTCCTCAGCTAACAATGGAATGTTCTACTCTTCCAACCAGTCCATCCCCCTCAGTTACTACCTTTTGTACCACCAGCCCCTCCCTCTTAGATTGTAAGCTCCCAGGATCAGGACCCTCTTAACCCTCTTGTATTGAACTTTATTGTCTCCCGTTATATTGTAAAGCGCTGAGCAAACTGTTGGCGCCATATAAATCCTGTATAATAATATATAAGCGATAAAATATCTGCTTTTTCATATTGTGGAAGAGGGAGAAAGTAAATGGCACATAATGGTAATTTTGCTGAAAGGAAGTTCTGATTCAGATCTGGGTTCAACGATCCATCCCCCCCCATCCTTCATATCAATCGCCCTATGTGTGCGATTTGTTTTTAAGCCAGTCACATGAGACTGCAAGCTCCTCTTCCCCCTTGACTCTTCTGCAGGATAGGTGGTGCTCATGTTGGTGCCGCTCTTTGTAAATGAAAGGTTTTATGGTTATCTCCCCTCGGGGGCGGAGCACTGACACCCTGCCCTGTCTTCTGGGAGGCGTGACACCGGGCGTCATTACTTGGAAGACGGAGGACATCTTGTGGCAAAGTGGTGGAGGTACTATGGGGACAATTCCAGATTGAAGAGGGGTATTGCTGTCTGAGATACTCTGTTTTTTTTTTTAAGGGGGGCAATAGAGAAAACATAGTAGGGCTTTAATTCCGAGTTTCTTGCCTACCGGTTGTAGTGGTGACACCATTTGTTTACATTTTGGTATGCTGGACTTGTGCAGGCCATACACGGATCGAATTCCCAACCAGGGGCGGACTGACAACTCATGGGGCCCCCGGGCAATAAGGGATCATGGGGCCCCTGTGTCCTTGGCCAAACTCAAAAAAGTCTATGAAAAAGGTACCAGGGGCATCTCATGGGGCCCCCTACTGACCCCGGGCCCTCGGGCAGTGCCCCAGTTTCCAACTGGTCAGTCCCCCTGTTCACAACTAATTTTCTTTAGAAAATCGGAAATTTTGTGCGTTTTGTAATCCGATGGCGCCACCATTGATTTCAAAGTTCAATGAACCAAGCCTCCAATTTCAAGTTGCTACAGAAAATAATTTTCGAAGCCAAGAATTCTCTTTTCTTTCCAGGTCACAGCTTTATATTTCTTGCACGATTCTCCCATCATTGATTCGAAATTCGTTCATTTTTCCAAAAATCTCCAGCACGACCGATCACTCAAATTCGATGGTCACACGAAAATTGGCCATTTCTGTGACCCACTAATGATGCGAAATTCGAACTAAAATTCTTAGAAAAGATTTTCGAAAGAAAAGTCTTTCAGAATTGGACCCGCGTACGGCCGGCTTAAGAGCCCTCTATCCAGAGAACGGATCGCTTGCAGGTCTGAAAATTCTTGTCATAGGATCATCGTAGAAGTTTAACACGGATTGGTTCCAATGTTACTGTTTTATTACTGAGCAAGCTGGCCAGATCAACCGGCGGATGGAGGTTTTCGTAACACGGTGGTAGGAGATTTTTTCTCTCTCTGCCTGTCAAAGACCTAAACTCATGAAATGAGTGCAGAACAGCTTGATGTATTCATCGGGTATTTGGTAGAGACATGTCAAGTAAGCACATTTTGTCATAAAACATTTATATAAAAACACATAGAAAAAAATATATATTAAAAACAATAATATGAATCTCACACACAGTATAAAAATACAAAGAAAACACAAAGGAACAAATACTCTGCAGTCCTGTCCAAAGCTTATTAAATAGTGACCCACGAGGTCCCCTACAATGACCCTCCTCCACCCAGCTGCACATACTCTGCTCTGCTTTACTGCTCGATGCTCCAGTCCACTGCCAGAAAAAACAAGTGAAGGCCCCGGGTCACTGAGAACCCCACGGCCAACCTAAGAGACATCATCACCCACTCCGAAAGGTTTGGCAACACTAAATAACACCAACGCAACCCACTGATGATCAAACGTCATTGTTATCTATTTACATGCCGGGGGGAATCCGGGGCTCTTGTACCCCTACAACCCCCCTAAACCCCTCCCCCCCCCCGCACACACAAAATTTTTCTTTTCCTTTTTTTTTTTTCCCATGTTCTGCCTTTCCTCTTTTTCCCTACCCCCTACACCATCCTCCCTCCCATCCCCCCTCCTATCCCATCCCCCCCCTCCTATCCTCCCCTATCCCATTCTCCCTCCTATCCTCCCTTTCCCCTAGACAATCCTCCCTCCCCCTATCCTCCCTCCTCTGCTCCCCTTTACCCCAACCCAATCCCCCCTCCCCCTATCCTCCCCTTCCCCCAACCCAATCCCCCCTCCCCCTAACCTCCCCTTCCCCCCCTCCTATCCTCCCCTTCCCCCTACCCCATCCTCTCTCCTCTCCCTAACCCCCCCCATCCTCCCCTTCCCTCTACACCATCCTCTCTCCTCTCCTTTCCCTAGCCCCCGTCCTATCCTCCCCTTCCCCCTACCACATCCTCTCTGCTCCTCCACTTCTCCACCCCCCTACCTTATCCCCTCTGCTCCTTCCCCACCCCCACAACCCCACCCCCCTTCACCCAACCACATCTCCCCTCCCCCCTCCCTAACCCATCCCTTCTCTGTTCCTTCCATATCCCCTACCCTATCTTTTCCTCTTCTCCCCCCACCCCCTACCTCATCTCCTCTCTGCTCCCCCCCCCCAACCCCCCTCTTCTCCTTCCACACCCCCTACCCCATCCCCTCTCTGCTCCTTCCTCCCTTGTCAACTCCCCCCCCAACCCCCCTTTTCTCCCCCCCCCCACCCCATCCCCTCTCTGCTCCTTCCCCTTCTACTCCTCTCCCCAACCCCTCTTTGCCTTCCCCACCCCCCTACCCGATCCCCTCTCTGTCCCTCCACTCTTCCCTTAATGCCCTTGTCCCACTTCCTGCCCCAATTATTATTCTCTTCCAACCCCTCACCCCCAATTTCCCCACCTACCCCCCATCTCCACCCAATATTTCCTAACCCCCACTATACCCTCACAATATCCCGAGACCCCTCCCCTAGAAGACCCCCTACACACTACCCACTGATATCCCAGAACTTATCCGGGTTGTCCGCCCACCATGTTGGAAGTCTCACTCTGTTAACCCATAACCCCCCCCCCCCCCCGCCCCCCAAGTTGACGTTTTGACCTTACACTGCCCTCTATGAACAGGCATGGCACTGTCGCTGGAACTGGCCGGAACGCTCTGCGCTGGCATGATTGGCAATGTTTGTCCTATAAACCCAAAAACTAAAACTCCAATTCAACAGAAAGCACCTGTGTAAGCTCAGGACTGTGACAGTGCTTGACCAATTACATAGCACCAGCACTGTCACATGGGGTGAGCCGCATGCGTCCTCATAGCGGATGCATATTCATTACTCCTGTCTGCTGAGCAAAGGAAAGGTAAGTATGTGCTGCTGGGGTGGGGGAGGGGCGTCAAAGTGAACCCATTGCTGTACCCTACATGGGGACAGCATGGATTGGCTGTAAGGTTTCATGTTTATACAGGGGTGCAGAGGAGGTCACTGTGGGGGTTCATGTTCCCACAGATCTAGGAGAGTCTGATGTGTAGGCACTATGGACACAGCGTACAGACGTGTAGCGGAGTGTATGGCTGCACATGGGCTCCAGGCTGCCCTCTGCAGGAACCTGAGAAAATAGCAACACTACTGTCATCATCCGGGCTGCAAAGGATTCTGGGAGGAGGGACAGAGAGAGAACCAAAATGACGTCTGAGGACAGCGCTGCTTCCCTTGGTCGGCATTTATAGGCTGATGATGGCTCCCCTCCTCGTCACCGCAGTTTAATCTCGCAGCAGATGCAGTTAATGATGGTACAGTCAGGGGGCTGGTAGACGCAGGCAAAGCCACAGGGGCAACAGGAGACATCACGGCAGCTAGAGCAAGTCTGGGGAAACCAGGAGAGAAGGTGTCATGAACAAAGTCTGGATCTACATCAGCAACAGGATAATATTCAGTGTGTAGGACCAAAAATCCCAGCATGACCTCACAACCCATGATGTATGTGATGCACCCATGATCCTAAGTGCAACCCATACAATTGTCATGTACCCAGCAATGCCAATGTCCCATCACCCACCTCCATGATACTAGTACAGCCCATACATTACCCTGTACCCAGCAATGCCAATGTCCCATCCCCCACCCAGCAATGCCAATGTCCCATCACCCACCCCCATGACCCTAGTACAGCCCATACATTACCCTGTACCCAGCAATGCCAATGTCCCATCCCCCACCCAGCAATGCCAATGTCCCATCACCCACCCCCATGATCCTAGTACAGCCCATACATTACCCTGTACCCAGCAATGCCAATGTCCCATCCCCCACCCAGCAATGCCAATGTCCCATCACCCACCCCCATGATCCTAGTACAGCCCATACATTACCCTGTACCAGCAATGCCAATGTCCCATCCCCCACCCAGCAATGCCAATGTCCCATCACCCACCCCCATGACCCTAGTACAGCCCATACATTACCCTTTACCCAGCAATGCCAATGTCCCATCACCCACCCCCATGAACCTAGTACAGCCCATACATTACCCTGTACCCAGCAATGCCAATGTCCCATCCCCCACCCCCATGATCCTAGTACAGCCCATACATTACCGTGTACCCAGCAATGCCAATGTCCCATCACCCACCCCCATGATCCTACTACAGCCCATACATTACCCTGTACCCAGCAATGCCAATGTCCCATCACCCTCCCCCATGACCATAGTACAGCCCATACAATTGCCCTGTACCCAGCAATACCAATGTCCCATCACCCACCACCATGATCATAGTACAGCCCATACATTACCCTGTACCCAGCAATGCCAATGCCCCAACACCCACCCCCATGATCCTACTGCAGCCCATACAATTGCCCTGTACCCAGCAATGCCAATGCCCCAACACCCACCCCCATGATCCTAGTACAGCCCATACATTACCCTGTACCCAGCAATACCAATGTCCCATCACCCACCACCATGATCATAGTACAGCCCATACATTACCCTGTACCCAGCAATGCCAATGTCCCATCACCCACCACCATGATCATAGTACAGCCCATACATTACCCTGTACCCAGCAATACCAATGTCCCATCACCCACCACCATGATCATAGTACAGCCCATACATTACCCTGTACCCAGCAATGCCAATGTCCCATCACCCACCACCATGATCATAGTACAGCCCATACATTACCCTGTACCCAGCAATGCCAATGTCCCATCACCCACCCCCATGATCCTAGTGCAGCCCATACATTACCCTGTACCCAGCAATGCCAAATGTCCCATCACCCACACCAATGATTCTAGTACAGCCCATACATTACCCCTGTTGTGTTTTGATTGGGGGGGGTTAGTCACATGACCTATGAAAAAGTGCACCCTAAATGTGGTAAAATCGTGGCAAAACGGCGGGTAAAATCATGTGTTTTCGGCGGCTATTATCAGCACTATTTTTCATATTAGCAAAATCCCACTAACATGATTTTCGGCTGATACATTTGGGCCGAGATATATCGGTGCATCCCTAGTCTGTACAATTACTTAGGAGAGAATGAGCCACAACATCCCGCATAAGGACAGATGGCGTGCAGCGCCGCGCTCACCGGCTGGGAGGGACAGCAGTTGTCCATACACTGGGTGACGGTGGGGACTCTGCAGTCACAGGACTGGGCGCAGCTCTCACAGGCATCACAGAACCCCAATCCCCGACTTTCTGCCACCCCATACAACACGGGCAGCCCAGCCCTGAGCCTGGAAAAGAAGAAACAAAAAACATATCCAAACATAAAGAAAGGAGGAGAAATGAAAACAAACACACACGTTTTATCTGTTTTTGTCCTTTCTCGGTTGTTATGTTTGATAATGTATGTATGGGTGATACTTTATATTTTGTGTTGTTGTTGTGAACAGAGGGGTTAGTGCCCCTGTCAGGTCTGTACTGCTGGACGTACCCAATGGAGAGTTCCTGCCACTTCCACGGTTACAACATTGTGACAAGTGCAGTGAGCTAAGAAATATATCTGATGAGACAAACAAAAAACTGACAGGGGTTCTATAACTGTTCAGTATTCAGTTCAAAACTACAAAAAAAAAAAAATAATAATAATTTCTGATTAGAGATGAATTATACTGCATGTAAAGCGCCTGTACATCCCATTTACATAATAAACAGGTTGATATGTCCAGGCTCTGTGTAATGTTTTTGCACAGAGCGGCACTAAGCCTCCTCTTCTGCGGCTCCCCACTCCTCCTCTTCTGCAAGTGCCCCCATTGCACGATGCTTGTTATGGGGGCACTCGTATGGGCTTTCTCCAGAGTTGGGCTGTGTGCGGCTATAGACACACACAGCGCGGCTCAGCCCCACCCCTGCTCTCTCCTCACTAGTTCTGATAGCAGCAGGCGCCTATGGCCCTCACTGCCGGCACTGACTCCAGAAAGCAGGAAGAGGAGAGAAGAGCTGCAGCAGATGGGCACAGCGCTGGATCGAGAATGGACTCAGAAAAGGTTTAAAGTAAGTGTGTGTGTGTGTGTGTGTGTGTGGGGGGGGGGGGGGTTTTATTGAAAGGTTTTTACCTTAATACTTTTGCCTTTAAAAACCACTTTACATTTGGGAGCGAGGGTGGGGTCCTTGTCAGGGAGACTGTCTTGGGGGAGAGGGGGGGTCCCTGTCAGGGAGACTGTCTTGGGGGGAGGGCTGGGGACTGAGGGCCGGGGACTGAGGGCTGGGGACTGAGGGATGGAGACTGGGGGCTGGGGACTGAGGGATGGAGACTGAGGGATGGAGACTGAGGGCTGAGGGTTGGGGACTGGGGGACTGAGGGCTGGAGACTGGGGTGGGGGACTAAGGGCTGAGGGTTGGGGGCTGGGGACTGAGGCTGGGGACTGAGGGCTGGGGACTGAGGGCTGGGGACTGGGGGCTGGGGACCGGGGGCTGAGGGCTGGGGACCGGAGACTGAGGGCTGGGGACCGAGGGCTGGGACCGGGGGCTGGGGACTGAGGCCTGAGGGCTGGGGACCGGGGCTGAGGGCTGGGGACCGGGGACTGAGGGCTGGGGACTGAGGGCTGGGGACCGAGGGCTGGGGACCGTGGGGCTGGGGACTGGGGGCTGAGGGCTGGGGACCGTGGGGCTGAGGGCTGGGGACCGGAGACTGAGGGCTGGGGACCGAGGGGCTGGGGACCGGGGGCTGGGGACTGAGGCCTGAGGGCTGGGGACCGGGGGCTGAGGGCTTACGGCTGAAAGACCAGGCACAGCACTCACCTGTAAGCATTGGTGGATCAGGAGGAGGAAGAGCAGCACAATGATATATAATGAGACCGAGAGAAATATAATACCAGGAAGAGGGATACTCAGCTCAGAGATGGAGGCGGTGGAGGCCGGGACAGTGAGAGCCTGAAATGGTAGAAGGAGAGACGGTGAGAAGACTGAATACACAGAGAGGATGGGGGGGGGGGAGAAGACTGAATGCACGGGGGGGGGGGGAGAAGACTGAATGGGGGGGGGGGGGAGAAGACTGAATGCACGTGTGAAGGGGGGGGGGGGAGAAGAAGACTGAATACACAGGGGGGGGGGGGGAGAGAGACTGAATCCACAGGGGGGAGAGGACTGGGGGGGGGAGACTGAATCCACAGGGAGGGGGGTTGGGGAGACTGAATACACAGAAAGGATGGGTTAGGGAGGAAGACTGAATACACGGGGGGGGGGGGGGGGGGTGGCACTTACAGCCATCAGCTCCAGGACTAAAGTCTGAAAGGAGAAGAGACAGAAATTTGTTATTATTTCCGGGAATTACACTGAAAGGCCACAAGGCAGTGCTGGGCCCCAGCAGGGCGGCTGTACTGCCTTAATGCTGAAAGCGATCCCCCCCCCCCCACGCCCGCACCAGTACTCTCCTCCTCTCCCTCCCGCAAGTTGCACAGGAGGATTGGTGTCAGGATGGAGAGTCGTTTTTTAAATGTAATTTTTAACAGCCTCTTCCTTTTCTGAATGAACACGGTGAGTGATCATACCGGTCATTCCTGTTCATTCATAACTGAAGCATAGTAAACACAGTGTGCTATGCTTCAGTTTGTTAATGATCAGGGAGACTGTCTTGGGGGGAGAGGGGTCCCTGTCAGGGAGACTGTCTTGGGGGGAGGGGGGGTCCCTGTCAGGGAGACTGTCTTGGAGGAGGGGGTACCTGTCAGGGAGACTGTCTTGGGGGGAGGGGGGGAGGTGGGGTACCTGTAAGGGAGACTGTCTGCAGGGAGGGGGGGTCCCTGTCAGGGAGACTGTCTTGGGGGAGGGGAGGATTGATTTCCAGCAGAATACTCCGCCCTCCACATCACACAGAACATTTCTAATTCATGGATCACCGAGCTTATACACCCCCCATCCCCGGTACACAGCGTCCCCCTCCACCATCACTCACCATACACCCGCCACCGGCACACCCCAAACAAAGCCCAGTAACCAGAAACATCACATCATCTCGCGAGACTACAGTCGCGTCCCCTGTCACTATGGAAACCGCGGAGTACAGGCCGAGAGCGGGACGGCGGCGCGGAGAGGACAATCTACATCGGAGTGCGAGATCCGGGGACCCGTTGTACGGGGAGGGCTGGGATCGGGGGAAGGGCAGTATAGTTCTAGGAAAGGTGTCATGGTTTCCAGGGACAGTCCTTGGGACTAAAGAGTAGTTCCTGGAAAGATCCACCGGCGTACAGTGCTGGAAAGAAAGCCGATTTCAGTTGTTTTAGGTATTTTCAGCATTACATGATAATTAGTATTTTTATTTTATCGTCTAATTTGGTTTAATATTTTCATTTATTTGTTTTTTTTTATTTTATTATATCACTCTTTCTTGTTTTGTTTTGTTTTTTTTACACTTGCATTTTAAACTTGTATATTTCTTTTTTACATTTAGGTATTTGATTTTTTAAACCTTGTAATATTATTAATTATAATAATTTATGTTTTTTATTATTTTTTTTTGTTATAATCTTGTTTTAATATTATTACTTTTTTTATTGTTTCAAGCTGATATTCTACTTAATAATTAAAATATTTATTTACTTTATTATTTTAATTTGTATTTTTTATTTTATGGGTTTAATATTATTTTTAACCTATTTTTTATTGTTTTACAGTTGTATTGTGTATGTGTATATATATATTATATTTATGGTTTTCAACATTATTATTATTATTATCAGTAGTCGTAGTATTTTATATTTTTATTTCAATCTCGTATTAATATTTTTTTTTAATTGTTTCAATCTGGCATTCAAATTATTATTTATTTATTTCTTTTACTTTCTTGTTTTAATTTGTATTATATTTATTACTTGTGTTCATTTTTTTTTTTCCATTAATAAATTAATTTTTCAATTTCAACTATTTCATACAATAAAAATAAGCTTTTTTTGTCATTAAATACCATTATTAACATGCAAATACCTCAAATAAATAATACATAAATAAATAATAAATAAATACACAGTCAAAATACTTTTTTTTTCCTCCCCCTATACAAAACCCAACTCCACCCTCAGACAGTCTCCCTGACAGGGACCCCCCTCCCTCCAGACAGTCTCCCTGACAGGAACCCCTCCCCCATTTTTTTTTTTAAATCTTTTATTATGATTATTATTGTGTTGTAATATTATTTAGTTGCTTATTCATTGTTTTATTTTTTTATTGTTGCACACCTATGTTATTATTAATTTAATACCCAGAATAACAAATAATGTATCTTTTGTTTCAGGTTTTTTTATTTATTTAAATTTTATCTCTTACATTTTGATATTTTTTTATTATTTTATTTTTTTTTTTTTTCTCTATTGTTTTAATATTATTTCCAATGACAGCATCCATCTTCCAGTTTTGGGTTGTTCCCGCCCACCTCGGGGAGTTCCGGCTCCTTCTTCATTATACATCCGGTGAGCTGTTTTTGAGCCCATTTATGTCCTAATCCGGCTCATAGTTTGTACCCATGACACCACATGACCACATGACACCACATGACACCACATGACACCAGGATTTACCATTGCCTCTATGTTTTAAAGAAAGCAGTGCTGACCGCTAACAGGAGACTGATCGGGTGTTCTCGGGTCCTGGAATCTTTACTGACATCCAGTAGTGGTATGGTGACAAAGCACCTTACTTATTTGTTCCTTTCGTTTAATCCCTCTGTTTTCCCTTCCTGTTTAGTGCTAGTTAGTGCAGTCCTTGCTAAACTCTCCTTGTTTTTCTCATTTTCGTCAAGGCTGTCATGTTAGACATGGCATCTGGCCAGGCCAGGACAAGGGGTGGGGCAGAATATACAGCCACCTCGGCTGCTTTGGCGAGAGGAGGGTGCAAAAAGGGAAGAATTTCCAATCTACCATAAATTTTCTCAAGATGGGGGGAGGGGTGCATTTTGGCCTGTTTGCCTTGGGTGCTGCTGGACTTTGTCCCAATATTGGTGGCATGTATAGAGCATTGCACGTTACAAGAGACTATTAGAGACTGCTTTCGAAATACATGAACGCGTTGAAGACTGCATCCAAGTTACAGAAGACTGCTAAAAAATGGTTTCCAAGTGACGGGAGACTGCTAGAGACTTCTTCCAAGACACAGGAGATGGTTAGAGACTTCTTCCAAGATACAGGAGACTGGTTAGAGACTTCTTCCGAGATACAGGAGATGGTTTAGAGAATTCTTCCAAG